GGGGGGGGGGGGGGGGGGGGGGGGGGGGGGGGGGGGGGGGTTAAGGGTGGTCAAGAAGAACGAGGGGTGATGCGGGTAGAGTAGGTAGGCATGAGGGGCACAACAGCAAGAGCCCAGCTTCAGGGTCCCAGGAGCAGAAGTATCGACTGAAAAACTGAAAACAAGAGCGCCGGATGGGGGAGGGGGGCTATTGCCCCCCCCCTGTCATTAACGTTAAGGGTGGGAGCTTGAAACGCTGGCTTCGCCTGTTCTTGCGGAAGAGGTGGCTGTTGCTGCTGGTGGGACGATAGAGACAGAGAACAGGTGTAGCCGACATCTCACAAACGCGTGTACACACGCAGCTGTCTGTACATAGCTCTGAGAGATTCCCAGCAGGTAAGAACAACACACACTAGCGTCTACAGCACCAGTACAAAGAAAGAAGTTGTGGCTGCTGCTGTGAGTGTGTGTGTTTTCTTAATCAGCATCGACCGCGCTCACCGGATGCGTCGAGTTTGACCTGCCGAACGACAAAAAGTTAACCAAACAAACTGGCCTGCAAAAGCACACACACGCACCAAAACAAGAAGCTTGGGACGAATAGCGACGCCTGCGTCGGGTTGCTTTTGAACCAAATACCACACGACAACCAGAAGGAAAACAACATTCGTGCTATATACCAGACGCCGGCATCACAGCACTTACCTGTCCGCCCCCGCCGTCTCTTCGTACATGTCGTGGGTCCACGTCTCAGCGACATCGGCAGGATTAACCTTGCCCATAATCTCGTCCAGCAGCCTGATCATGACGAAGAGGTGGGTTTCACATCACACGGGTGCCGCGTGCTCATTGGTTAAATTGCCATTGTAGATCTTACCCAGCTGACCGATCAAATCACTACGAGCATCTACTATCTTTCGAGGAGAAGGAGAACATCGTTTCTTCTCCCTATCAGAGACACTTCTCCTACCCGTTCGAAACCTTCAAGAAGCGAATCGTGATGTCAAGTACTGCTGTGCTGGAAACTACGGCGAGCAGTATTTGGTTTGATCTGTCCCATACCGCTCCCCCCGGTCGCTGTCCATTACTTACCCGGTGACGGCCCTGTCGCGGCTCCTGCTCCTTCGCAAGCTGGCGCTTCGACTCCGGCTACTCGCCCTGCAACTCGGTCGTCGAGAATATTTGCGAAAACGACACGGTAAAAAAGTTGTGGAGATGCGATGGCATGAAAAGGCTCCTTCCTTCCTTGGGTGATGTGGTAGAAGGGCACCAAGGTCGTTGTAGCTTTAGCTCGCTAGTACACAGAATAGGCTCTTCTTCTCCGTTTAGGTAAGAGGAAACGAGGCCAGAAAGAGGTTTTCATCCAAACTTGACATTCAAAAAGGGTCACATCACCAACGCTCGTCGAGGTGGATTCTCTCTGTTGATAATATATCATGGAAAAGAATAAAAAATGCTTTGACATTTCTTTGTATGCTCGCAGCAGAAACGATAGCAAACGAAACAAAGCAAGAACATGGAAGGACGAACAAAAATATCACCCTGAACCTCCTCAAGCACCGGAAGCAACCCTCCTCGTATTATATTTTCATGTACTGAACCCGCACACAGCTCTACCGCTTTCGCTCTGCGCACCACTGCAAAAGCACAAGATGAGCGAAGACTCAGTTCTCTTTCACCCTGCCTCGCAATAGCCACAGTTACACGAACGTGCCCGTTCACATATATGCATGAGGCATGCGGTCACGCTGGCGAAAGCCCTGCGACATACGAACAACACAGACATCAACACGCTATCCCAATTGACACAAAAAAAAAGACACAGCCTAATATGCACAAGTCTCGTTCTCTCAGTGTGGCGAACGAGCAGCGACAACCCAGAGGAATGTGTAGCTAGATCAGGACGACACAAGGTACATACAGAACGCGTTACCACATGAGAACTCAGGAGCCAAGAAATCGAGCCTCAACAAAACAATTTTTAGAACTTGAGCACCGTTTATGAGCTCGGTTAAGAACTCCTACACTAAAACCTATATACCGACCATTCGCAGCATGACCCTAGGAATACAGTAAAAACCCCACCCTCGGCCGAAACTTTTTATAGAGGTTCTTTACTGGTGGCGCGTTCTGCATGTTGAAAAAAAAAAAGACGATAGCCATACACACATAAACTTGATCGACTTCACAAGTTGCGAGGGAAGGGATTGTTGTACCCTTCTCGCGATAAAAACATCTCAGGCAGGAACCGCAGGAGGGGGTCCAACCCCCCCTCCTATTTGACCCCGGTTGGGTCGTCTAGCTGGTAGAAGTGGAGGATAGGGGCCAGAGGGGCAGACGACAGGGTCCAATGATGGGAGAAAAAAAAAAAAATCACAAAGGGTAAGCCAGTGACCACGAACATGTTCGCTACCTTGAACAGCGCCGAAGAAAGACATGTCAGAGCGATTCGTAATGCGGAGACAACAGCTGCCTCTGCTGCTGCTGCTGCTACAGCTGCTACTTGTGGTGGTGCTGCCGAACCATTTCCGCACACCTTGTTCGTCTCTCCCGGCTGATGCTTCTGCTGAGGCTCCGTGCGACCTCCTCACCCCCCGGGCTTCGACTTCTCCTCCTGGTCCGCCTCCTGGAGGAGATACGAAACACAGCGGGAGGGGGGTTCCGAGGCACGGGAAGACACTCATCAGCCTACAGCAGTCGTGGAAACAAACAACCTAAGCTGTGGGGGCATCTGTTGCAGGAGAACCATCACAAAACAGCCGCGTCTCAAGCACCAGGAACCGTGGAAGGAGCCGGGGTCTACCAGTACGTCTCCGCGCCAAAACCTGATGCGCGCTTCCCTCTACAACACAAAACAACAACAACAACAGCAACAACATCGAGCAAACTCATGCCGGTGTTTGGTCGCAAAAAAAACAACTTGCCCCATTTTCTCGAGCAACGCTGGTAGAGATTTCGGGTACACCGAAGTATGTGCCTACACGAACGCCAAAGAACAGGGGGCTCAAGAATATCGTCACCTCCCCCCCCCATCGCCCAACCGGCGGAGCCCGTCGACATTCTCCGGGGCCGTCGCGCGGCTAAGAAATCGACAAAACCACCTGCATAATTCTCTGCGGTGGTACAGCAACCACACGGCGGCGGCAACCCAGAACGAGTTAAAGCGCTGACCTGATGTCCCCCCCCACCGCTCACCTCCCTCGGCCATGTAACTCCTCCCGCTCCCCGTCCTCCGAGTCTCCGCTACGGTGCCCCCGCTGCCCTCGCTCCCGTCGGTCGCGAAGACAAGCTCTCTTCCACGCCAGCTCGCTCGACGATTCGCCGCTCGCCCCCCTGCCTCTGGCCGTGGAGGTTCCGATGCCGGTTCGCGCTCCCGGGGGAAAGCCCGCCCTGCCCCCTCGCCACCGCGCGTCCCGGTCGTCGTGGTCTGGCCTGGGTGGGGTACAGGGTTTAGGGTGGCAGCGATGGTGGGGACTAGTGCCGACAGAAGCTAGGTCGCCATGGTAATGGTGGTGGAGTTATTTGTGGTACCGTCGAGCACGCGTCCTCACAATTTTACTCAGGAAGGAGCGTCACGCGTCCTCAAAGTTTTTGTGAAGGAGCGCCGTCTCGAGCCTTCCACAACCCGAGACACTGCTGTGACGGGGGGCGGGTGGGGGGGGCATGGTGGCAGTTGTGTGTGGCGTGCTACAAGATATGTACTGTGATGGTGGTTCATGCGAATGGGACCAGGTGGTGGTGGTAGCAGAGCCGACCAAGGGATGGGATTGCATACATACACGGGTGAGATGGTGGTCACTCGCTCTCTCGTTTCTCTCGTTGGGGGCAACGCGCCCTAGGTGAACCCCGATGCTCGAAAAACAGGGGGTTTCCACGGGGGTTCTGAAAGATTATGTCGCGCTTTCATTTCAAGATGAGTGGCGATTGCAACACCACCTTATATGCAGAGGAGATAAGCCGGCGGGTTCGAACAGGCCAATGATGTGGCGGGGAGGGGAGAGGTGTACTCATAGTCGTGCATGCCGCAATCATTAAGCCATTGACCCCGCATCCCTACAAAGCCGGGACGGAGCACGCCGGGTTTTCACCGGACCAGACTAGCATTTCACCAAGCAGAGAGGGGGGGGGCGTTTCGTGCAACGGTCGAAATCACACAGGAAGTTATGAGATGTGAGTTGATCGTTTAACTTTCACAATCGTCATGCGTCCTGCGTGCGACAGCGGCACTTGCGTCGAAAACGAAAAACGCACCGACATCTCCCTTCCCCGTCACCACGGCCAAGGCCATCACCATCGCTGTTGTCTTCCAACCCATTACCTTCGCCACCCATCGGCACAGCGGCGGTCGACTTCACGGTCTCCGATGTCACCGTCCCTAAACAACCGTGGCACCTCTCGTTGTATTGGCACAAACTCTTCCGCAACAACAGTTAGTATTTCCTCCTCTCCCTGCTGTTCACACCGGCGCAGAGCAGCGTGGTGGTCCGCACGAGATAACCCAACCTCGAGGTAAACATGAACAGACTAAACATGAACACAACCACCGTCCCCGACAGTCAATGATCCCGATTCGAGCATCCAAAGCAAAACCATCCTCCGGCATTAGTGCAAAAGCATTTCACATACTTCAAAAGCGGCTGCTTCCGGATAGATAAGGCACCTTCGAGGGTCCGACGGGACATCGTCTGTTGATCCCAGCATCCCGAGCAGTCCGACCCTGGCCATTGGATCCTCGGCCCCAGCGGCTTGTGGCTCCACGTCTCTTGCCCCATCCGCGTCCTCGACGAACACCTACGCGTCGCGGTTGCGGGACCACAGGAATCGATTTTTCGGGTCGCTCCTAACTACACGAGATATCATGCACAACAGCAGTATAGTAGCGGCCGCCATGCAATAGAGGAAAATTCATTACAGCAACCATTACAGTAGCGGCCACGGTGTAAGAGAGGGTCAGGGTACGTCAAAAATTTGGTCAGATCCAAGACTAGTACAATACCGCGTATGCGTGCCGACCGCACGACCGACACACCGTCTTGATGCAGTGACCTGAAAATCGTTTCGTTGGATCATCCATACGGGTAGCGATGATCATACCACTAAGATTTTTAGCGCGTTCAACGGAAGGGAATAGAAAGGGAGCCCAAAACGAGGCTCTCCGAGACTAACCATGCCGGTACGCGAGCTTGGCGAGAGTACTTCCGTGCTGCCCGTACAGCGGTGGCGGCTACGGTTGAAGACAGATTATTGAGAAAGAAAATCGGATTTGAAGGGAGTGTTGTTCGCTTGTCCCGTCCCCACCATGAGGAACATATTTATGTCACAGGATTGTGTAAGAGAAACCGGGATTTCACAGAGTATTGTTGGCTTGCCCCAACAACCCTCTCTTAAACCGTCGCCACTGCTGCTGTGCTTTCGATTGCTCGTGCGTGCGCACTGCCACACGACACGTCTCGCTACAGAAAAAAAAAGCTCACCCGACCGTCGCTGCTCAAGCTTCTCCCGCTGCTACTGCCGCTGCTACTGGCGCTGCTCCAGCCTCTCCCCCCCCCGCCNTGCTACTGGCGCTGCTCCAGCCTCCCCCCCCCCCGCCGCTGCTACCGCTGCTGCTGCTGCTGCTCGTGATGCTAGGGCTCCTGGACGCCCTAGCCACCATCCCCCTCCAACCAAACTCCTTCTCCAAGTCGTTCATCTCCTCGTCATCATCGTCGTCCGCCGGCTTTCTTCTGCCGGAGGCGGGGGGGCGTCCCCTTCTTTGCTCGCGCCTTCTTCTGCGGCGTTGCCGGCTAGGGCTGCTGCTACCGCTGCCGCCGGCCGACGGGGAACGATGGCGACGGCGGCGCCTCACGCGCTGCCGCCCGAGGGAGTCGACGCTCCTGTTCGGAACACCAACGACAAGACGGACGGCAGTCGCGTGGGGCGGGTAGGCGCCATTGGCTGTTGTAGGGACTGACGTGTCTCGTCGATGATTGGTGGGGGTCCACGAGGGTCGCTCAAACGCCGCCGGCGTACAAGCGCACCCCCTTTGAGGTCGGGTACAGGTTCAGGCGGAGGGTGCGTTGCGGAATATCGAAACAATCAACTGCTACAGGGTAGAGGTGCATTTTGGGTGCTTGCTGTAAAGTAGACGGGTGTGGAGAAGTTTATCCATTTGAATGGTAGCGTGCGGTGACCGCGTTGGGCGAGCGAGGACACGGGAAGAAGCGTGAGGTATAGAGTACCCCCCGCCCCCCCCCCCAAGATAAAGGCGTTATGGCGGTACTAGGCACTCGTTGTCCTCCTGCGCGTTTCGTCCCCCGGTGGAAAAACAGACTGACCCCATTTACAACGCGCACGCCATGAAAAACAAAGCAAATCACATAGATGCACGCACCCCATGCTGACGCTGCGGCTTCTGCCCCCGCGCTTCTTGCGTTCTCGCCGCTTGGACTTGCTTTTTCTGATCGATTTCCTCGCCACGGCATCCCTCTTGCTCTTGCCGTCCTTGTCTCTGCTGCTCTTCTTTTTCTTCCTTCCGGAGGAGGAAGACTTAGACTCTGCTCTGCGCTCTGACTTGCGCTCCGCGTTGCGCTCCGATCCGCGCTCTGTTTGAGCGCTCCGCTCTCGCTGCTGAAAACGACGATGCACATGAGGACATTCCTACAAGGTTGGCATGGGATGGCAAAAGACGAGCCGACGATTGCAGCAGTGTACAAAACCCCCCGCCCACAAGGATTGAACTATAAGCAGAGAGCTAGTCACCCCGGATATCAGTTGTGTGCACCTTGCAAGCCTCAGGTTATGGGCTCGAACCTCTCCGGAGTGGTAGATAACACTGCAAAATTGGACGCGCAAAAACAACGTCGCTATGTATGTACAGCAGTACAGCAGTAGAGCAACACTCACGGCAAGGGAGCGCAGAACTCTTACCATACCACTCGACTCGGAGTCAAGTTACACATAGTACCGCCGGAGGGGAAAAAAATAATCTAATGTTTGCCTAGATATTGTAGTGCACCAAACACATATCCCAGGAATATGATGGCGTCAGAATACTGCTGTACAGTGTAGATGGGGCGTAACACGTCCTGCTACTACCAATATGTGTTCATAGGCCGGAGGTGGTCTCCGGCCTCCGGGTACTCATTTACCAACTGTCGAACAGACCCGGGTTCAGTCCCGGGCTGACAACAAAATTGATGCTTACCTCGACATCCTGCGCGTTTGCTCCCTTGTTCTTCATGTTCCGCCGCCATGCCGCTGCCGCAAGTTCAGCTTCCGTGAACCCTGAAGGGCGAGGCATCGCAAGAGGAGACGTACGCTAGTTGCCGTTCTTTGCACACACCTTATTGGTAGACTGGCAACAGTCTGCCGCAGAGTAAGTAGCGCCGCAAGCCCTTTTCTCTTTTCAAGCACAGCCCGATTGCGCGGCAATTGCCACGCTCAGCTCCTATGCGCCACTTACGGCCTCGTGGTCCCACCGAACTGGGTGCCGTGCTAGACAAGCTCGAAGCCGCGGGTGCTGTGCTAGATTGTACTGCCCGAGCCCCCCCTGATCGGGAGGGGGCCGAAGCAGGGGGGGTGTAGGGGGCACCGGGAAATGGGGGTACAGAAGGAATGAGTGATCCGCAGGACAAGGACGACGCATGTTGAGGGGATAACTCCTTCCGATATTGAGGCTGTGCTTGAATGCCTCGCGGGCACCAGAAATCTTGTCGTCCATTGTTGGCTGCCGCTGTAGTTGGTGCAAAGTACATTCATCTTATTTCGAGATGATGGTTTTCCTTGATCCATCCGCAAACTGTACCCACCCGCGGACTTGCTTGTCGTATTGTCGTATTGTACGATTCCTCGGGAAACGACAACTTAATTAAGGAAGGCCCGTGACTTGGGAATATTCATTTTAGACTTTGTTATGTTGATTATTCTACAGTCTCAAACCAATGCATATTAAGACTGTCGTGAGAGGAGAAGAAAATTTCTCACAGCAGACTAGACTTTCATCATGTTGTGCAGTTTGTGTTGTAGTCTATGTCTGTCTGTCTCTGTTCTCTGTGATTGATGTTGATCGACACGGAGATAGGAGATAGGTACCTGCATCGAGGTAAAAGCCGCACCAGCAGCCAGAAGGATAACCATTGAAGCACACGCCGATATCCCAAAAACAAACAGCCGTTGGAACACGAACACTCACACCCACGAATCGTTGTACCCGGGATCGGTGTGTTCGCAAAACAACAACAACAACAACGAACGGTATGATGAATTTGGTCGGCTTCGACTGCCCCTCCCCCCCCCCCNGCAAAACAACAACAACAACAACGAACGGTATGATGAATTTGGTCGGCTTCGACTGCCCCCCCCCCCCCCCCTAGCAACGGCGCACGACGTCGCATTCTACTGAGGGGTTGAGCTCGAAGCTCTTGGGGCTGGGATGCTTTCCTGTACAACAGGTTTCCGTTACATTTAGCTTTTCTTCATCCACAAGGCATCAAATCCTTGAAAGCACTTCGTTTCAGAGGTATCGTTGCAAGGTATGCACACCAAACGGGACGTGGCTGGGTCCTCAGGCCGATCCGATTCCTCACGGGTGGCCAAGGAAGGTTGTATCTGGTGCACAACAACCTCCCCATACTCCCTAGGGTCAGGTTTTATGCCGACGTATGCAGCCAGCCCCGCATCACGGATTGCGGCGTTGGTCCAATCAATAGGGCGGACTGACAGCGTAGACGACATGTTGTGCAAGGCCGATCCCCATCGTCCCGACCTGACCGCGAGGACGGTGAGGACAAGTTACAACTTTCCTTTGGCCATCCGTGTTTCTTTTCCATGTTGTGGCTTGTCCGCCAAGCAAGAGAGAACCCCAACAGGAAACAAAACTCCGCGAGCACCGAAACAACAGAAGAAATACAACGTGTCCCTGTATTATTATTGGAAACTGTTCCAAGACGACCGAATGAACAAACGCCTGCCGACCAAACACAAGCGCGTAAACGCTAGAGGTGCTAGCGGGAACTCAAGCGTACTACACTCACCAGCTGGTGGGCTTGGGACTGGATGCCCCTGCTGGGATAAGAGGAAGGGCGCACCGGCCCATGAAACAATACTGTTTGCACCCGCCGCCGATCAAAACAAGCAGGAGTGCACAACAACAGCGACCATCGACGCTATCCTCTTCCCAGTGTAACAGGCGAACGGCGAAACGTGCAGCCCACTTCTACGGTTGGAACGGTGGCATCCCTCGACTGCCATCATCGTCTTTGCTCTGACCTCACCAACATCCAAGCTCTCCACTTCCGTCCGAAACAACAAGTTCCCGAGCAAAAAAAATGCCCGAAAAATACAGTAGCGTGTCCCTCCACACAGCGGCTTCGGACCGATACGAAACCGAAGCGAAGACGAAAGATCCTCTCTATCTTGACGCAACACAGCTAGCTTGCCCCACGCAACCAACCGTGCTAATCTTCTACATAAGAGACGATTCTCGTTGTTATGATGCGGGACGATGCGTGACGACGATGATTTTGTCGGTACCGAAGTAAAGCAGCAAAAATCCTCTCATGGCTCAAGTTCTAGGCAACACGGCAGACGACGACGATGACGACTGCCTTGAGTGGTTTTCGTGGTCAAGAGCTACGGGACTGTCAGCCGGCAAAGTCGACGGGGACGCTACCTAAAGTATCGTACGTGAGGAAGGTACCACACCCCTATTGGACGGACCGATTTTCAAAGCTCGATTTCTCCGCAGCAGTAGCAGAAATAGTGGCGGTGCTGCGTTGGAGCCATCTCGCCGAGGGCTTTCCGAAAATGCATCGGTTTCATCCCCGTCGCAATCGAGCTGTACAGGTGGTGGGCTATCCTACCAAAAGCCCACGGGAGACCCCAGGCCAAGGGCGCACGGCAAGGATGGTGCCGCCACCCATCACCACCGCCGTCCAGACGCCGCCAACCAAAAAAACTCTTCATGCTCGTTGCGATGGGACCGTGAGCACTTCGTGCCCTTCCTCCGTGATGAGCACCACATGCTCGAACTGGGCCGCCCTCCCCCCGTCCACCGTCTGCACGGTCCACGCGTCGGGCCAGAGCGTGGTGGCCTCGGAGCCCTCGGTGAAGATCGGCTCTATCGTGAAGGTCATCCCTGGTACCATTTCCAGCCGGCGCTGGACCGCCACGCGTGGTGCGAGCAAAACAGGGGGCGGGAGGGGTGAAAAGTATTGGCTTGCGGTGTATAACACCATCAGCCACTGCATCGTTCTGTCCGTAGCACTTGCTACAACGGATGGCCAAAACACCACCTTTCTAATCTTGACATTTCGAGGCGGAGCAATGTCTAGTCAGATAACCACCTAACGCTACGGCGCAAGCATGAGGAACACCAGCGTGAGAAAGATCGGCTCTACATGCATAGAACGCTTAACAAATACCACTTTGAACCGGCGGGCCCCGCAGATGTTCTATTGTAGTGGCGGAACCGCACAAGTCTGGGATTTGTGCGAAGGACTTCGACAATTCTTGGTGGCCAAACGTGCAGCGGTGTCGGATGTAGACGGGCGGAGTCTAGGGTGGCGTGCCACTCACTCACGTTGTTTCGGAAGTGTTCCACGAATGGCAGCATGTGAAAGCTTGACCCGACCCCGTGCCCGCAGTACCTGCAGCATCCGAAGGAATACCCCCAAAAAACCAAGACAGAAGTTGACCGTACGGCAAGGGTGTGAAGGGAAGGCTACACAGGAGACGAGGGAGCATATAACCAAGGCGTCCGACCACCGAGGGCATTGCAACAGCACAAGAAGGGAGAGGGCTCACAGCGGTTGTGCGTGACACGGTTCAGCCTTTGCTGTGCGAAACAGTGTGCAGCAGGCTCACAGAATCACTGCTGTAAAGCACTTTTGTAGATGAGAGGATGGTTTGAATTGGTGCATAGTTGGCCGAAAGGTAAGAAAGAGAAACTGATAGTCCTGAGACTCGTAGGAGTCCCTCAAAAGACCAAGGGCCTCGACAGATACATGTAGGGAAGAAAGCAAAGAGGGTGGGCAGGCGGGGGCGAGCACCACCACAGGGGCGAGGGCCTCCGCCCTATCATGGAATGATGCACACACTCACGGGCTGTTGCAACACACCGATCAGTCGGTAAATCCGATCTGCGGCAACACCACGGGAATATCCATGTAGCCTATGCTAGAGATCGATGTATGCATACAATAAGCTTACGGTTCGATGCATAACTCTTAGGTGTGTACAATGATCCGACCACCGATACGATGTACCAAAGACTCATTCGGTAATACTCCTTCGGGTGAGTACCGACTGGTATTTACAGCAGTAAACAAACTGATGACTGGCATTGAGTATTCCAGCACGACAAAGGATACCGGGGATTTCATGTGACATGAAACGGCACACAAGGATGAGGCCCCACGCTGATTGGCCAAGACCACCGAGTACCGCTTTCTGGCGGATGCAGGGGACAACACCGACACCCGGGTTTCTCGAGTCGGCTGCCGCCGTTTTATATTTAATGTCACCCCGTCACCGTTGAAACTGTCGCAAGTTAACGCTCTCCCGCACAAAAGAAAAATAGACTTGATGCAACTGCGGACCTCTCAACTCAACTCATAAATGACACCAACCAGGACTCGGAACCAGAACAACTACGGCTGAGATCCAACTCAACCGACCAAGATCAGAAAACCGTAGCGTACCGAGAGGTCAGTTGACCTCTTCAACCACCTCCGGTGTTCCGACCATCTCGCCCTGCCAACACATAGCCGCCGGTACGCCGATTTTCCGTCGTCTACTCTTCTCGACAAACTACCAATGAGAGAAGACTTGCGCATAAAAACAACGCCAACCTACGTAATCAATCCTTACCTGCAGTAACCTTCGCGAAGATACTAAGCTTGGCTTTAGCAGGGGGTAGGTGGAGTTGGGGGTTGGGGTTACGCCCCCCCCTCTCTATTTCCTTGATTTTAAGACAAGTAAAAATATGAGAAATGGACACAAGTGGGTATACCCAGCCCTTTCTCGGACAAAGGTGGGTACTCGAAAACCCAGCGCGCGCGCACTCCATAGGCGGCCCCCAAACGACTCAAAACCCCATTCTGACACCTGCGCGACACAGCCAGGGACCATACACAGCACGGGCATCGATTTTTTCCCACTTTCAGGCACACCTTTGGCCCTGATACCGCCAAGGCGCGCAGGGCCTCACCAGAGTGCCCACTTCTGTCCGGCATCGCGGTGGGTATACCCACCGGCGTCAACTAATTATTTTCATGGACCCACTTATGTTTGTATTTTGACCCGTTTTTGTCCGAATTGTACCCACATTTGTCCACTTACGGACGGCGAAAATCGAGCGGAAATCGAGCGGAAATCGACCTCCACGTCACCGCACGGCAGAACATCGAATAGCCTCGGAACGTCTCAGAACCTCCCAACACCGTATCCATGGCATATTTCGTATCCATGGCTGCCGACTGCGGACCGACCGCGGAGGAACACGTCAGACACATGCCAGGCCCCTTCGGTACCGGCACGAGAGGATACCAGGCACGGGAAGATGCTCGCGGTAAGCCCGGCAAGCAGCGCACGAACGGCAAACGCCACAAATAAATGCGTGACACACAACGGACAACAAAACCAACGGGCGTGCTTACAGAACAAACGCGCATACAGCAACAACACACACAGTCTACACACAAAGACACCAACCACCACCACGACGAGTGCACACCGACTCGTAAGGGCAGCAGCAGCATATCGATGCAGTTTGCTCTGCAGGGCGCCCGCTCAGGGTCAAGCGCGGGCGCACCTCTGTCAACTGCTGGCGGCGCCATGGTTGAAGGGGCATTTTTTGCGACGGTTACGTTTTTAGGGGGTATCAAGCCGGATTTTCACGTCGTATACACAAGATGAATGTTACCCTATTAAAATGATGTTACGTGGCAAACTGCATCGACATGCTGCTGCTGCCCTTACGAGTCGGTGTGCACTCGTCGTGGTGGTGGTTGGTGTTTTTGTGTGTAGACTGTGTGTGTTGTCGCTGTATGCGCGTCTTTTTGTTCTGTGTGCGCGCCCGTTGGTTTTGTTGTCCGTTGTGTGTCACGCATATATTTGTGGCGTTTGCCGTTAGTGCGCTGCTTGCCGGGCTTGCCGCGGGCATCTTCCCGTGCCTGGTATCCTCCCGTGCCGGTACCGAAGGGGCCTGGCATGTGTCTGACATGTTCCTCCGCGGTCGGTCCGCAGTCGGCAGCCATGGATACGGTGTTGGGAGGTTCTGAGACGTTCCGAGGCTATTCGATGTTCTGCCATGCGGTGACGTGGAGGTCGATTTCCGCTCGATTTCCGCTGTCCGTAAGTGGACAAATGTGGGTATAATTCGGACAAAAACGGGTCAAAATACAAACATAAGTGGGTCCATGAAATAATTAGTTGACGCCGGTGGGTATACCCACCGCGATGTCGGACAGAAGTGGGCACTCTGGTGAGGCCCTGCGCGCCTCGGCGGTATCAGGGCCAAAGGTGTGCCTGAAAGTGGGAAAAAAACGATGCCCGTGCTGTGTATGGTCCCTGGCTGTGTCGCGCAGGTGTCAGAATGGGGTTTTGAGTCGTTTGGAGGCCGCCTATGGAGTGCGCGCTCGCTGGGTTTTCGAGTACCCACTTTTGTCCGAGAAAGGGCTGGGTATACCCACTAGTGTCCATCTCCCTTAATTTTTTGTTCCATAAATAAATAAATGAAATAAGAATACGCCAATCAAAAGTTATCTAACACCGACTTTTGATCTGCCGAGGAGATGAATTTGTTGCAAGGCAAGAAAAAAAAAGGCTGCGAACTTACTTGCGCACGGTGTCGAACCCGTAACGGTCAGCAACAGCGTGGATCGCGCTCCCGATCTCCGTGAGGCAAGCCCCAGGTCGGCACACAGAAACGCCTTCCATCATCGCTTCCTAGCCACGCAAAGGAGAGCATTTCAAGCGTCCAGATCACATTCTGGTCGAGTTTCTCGAGAAGCAAGGCATGTGACACCCATCACGGCCTTCTGTACATGCACTCGAAGGTACACGCGCTGCTTTGTCTGGTAGCTTACCGCAGGCGGGGGTCCAACCCCCCCCTCCTAAATGACCCCGCTTGGGTCGTCTAGCTGGTAGAAGTGGAGGATAGGGGCCAGAGGGGCAGACGACAGAGTCCACCGCGTTGGGAATGAGGTGGGTCATTGCGGCTTCTCTAGCGGTGACGGACGATGGACTAACTTAGGCAACGATAGTACTCATGGAAATGGTCGAACTACAAGTTTTAGTGCTCCCCCGGTAACTACAGTAATAAACGGGGATGACACGCATCCTCATGGATCGTACATGGTTAAGAAGACCTACAGACCAAACTGGACGATGAATCATCTTTCACGAGTCGGAGGTCATGAAGCGTCCCCGTAAACTAAACTCGAAACGGGGGACATCCAATACCCCCCACCAAAATGGAGGCTGCGAAGCGCACCCGTCAAGGAACGAAAGACAAAGTGTAGCTCACGCGCCGCTGCTGGGACAGAGGCGAGGGACGTGTATAGCTCGCGTCCCGTGGTGGGAAGGAGGAAACCACACGGAAGTGTTTCCTACTGTCGTTACACAGTACCTGGGTGGCATGCATGAGAAGCTTCCCGGCATGGTCGACGGTCCCGACCCCGACCGTGGCACAGTTGTCACCGTGGAACCCCTGGTGGTAAGAGTTGAGGAAATTTGTCGCGGAAGAGCAGGGGGGGGAGGGGGGGGGGGGGTACTCAATAGTCGTGCATGCCGTAGTCGTTAGACCATTGACCTCGCATCCCTACAAAGCCGGGACGGAGCACGCCGGGTTCTCACCGGACCAGGCTCTCACATCACCAAGCGCGAAGCGCCGTGAGATATTCGGCGAGTCGCATGAAGGGTGCGCTGCATCCTGCTAAGGGTTTTCGGCATCTTGTGCTTACTTCCTTGCGTACGAATGACAGCTGCGTATGACTTAATTTACTTTCTGGTGCTTTCACTTCCAGAGACAGTTGTAATCCCCGGGTAACTGCCTCGAGGGTGCTTGGCCATTTTTACACAACGTGGTGCGATCATCCCCCTTGCGCGGAGTGAGGGTTCTCCACCCCGCACAACATGATCTGCTCCATCACCATTATGGCTACCGCCAAAAAAAAAAAAACGGGGGAAAAAAAAAAACTGTAACCTGGTTGCCGAGTTCACGAAGTGAATTGGCTTGTTTTACAACGTCGTTGCCAAGCGACGAAA